GATATTACATTGTAACCGGAACAAACGGCATTGGCTTTAGCTAGCGACGTGCCGCATCGGGCTGTCGCAGTCGCCGTCGCCTCTGAGGTTTCACTTTTCATCGTGACGCTGGTGAGAGGTGAGACCTCTACCTCTCCGTCCGAATTTCGCAACCGTTGTCGAAACAAACGCACGCCCCCTACTCACACTATTCATCGATAAAATCATTTATACACATAATGGTCTCCAACAGAACGAGATTTAATAGTATCCAACTGTAAAAATTAATCATCTCAATACAAATTCGTTTTTATAGAGTTAACATAAGGAAGAATAAATAATAGATCATTATAATATATGTTTATTAAGTCGATCAATGTTGTAACTAGTTTGCAATAAACCTGTTCCTACAAGGCATTGAGAATGTAAGATACCTATTTGCCGCTTTGGGGCGAAACCTATTGCTGAAGGCGAATAATTTCAAAATACTATCTATTCTATTATAGTTACATTCTTTTAATCCTAAGGCTCTACTTTCGACGCAATTCAAAAGAATTCGTGATTGGAGCGAATTTCGCAATCGCGGCGCCGAGCTTCGGTAAAGTGAAAGCTCACAAAGAAGTCTTTTAGTTTTTTTTTCTTAACACTATCGACATTGTCGAATAAAGATGAAATAACGATAAATTGAATGTACTTTAAAGAATCATTGTTTGTAGAGTTCTATGGATATTGTTAGTTCAAAATTATTAAAACAGAAATTGCATATACTTGGTACATATTAACAAAAATACAGGTATTGTAATTAGGTCAGGTGCACCGTACTCAAGTTCATTATCAAAGAATTTAGAGTAATTTCTCTTAGCTGCCCATCGAAAATATTTTCATTTAACAATATATGATGACGTTGGCCCGCTTAAAACACGAATCAACGAAATTCAAAGATGGCGTCGCGTTTGCCTGGTACTTGGCGCGGCCGCCATGACACACTGACCTACTTTAAAAATGGAACGACATACTAGAAAAGTGCCGCATACAACGATGTTTGAGAATACCAAAAATACAAATTATATCATGTCTTCTTGTTACAATATTAGGTGTAAAGAATAGTTGGTAAGTTCTTAAATGATGGAAATTAATTCAATCATTGTTTCAAATCTGGCATGCTGCTAGCTGCGACGTCCTCGCTCAGGTAGCTCAGTGGGCCAGTAGGGCGGCAATACAGCCCGCATTTTGATGTCGCAACACTGCAACTTACTAACTGTTTATCAGTTCTTCATTCTCCGATAGAATCCTAAAGGGACTAATATATTGTAATGTTATTGATAATATACAACTCGATAAATTGATTCGGACAAGTTGGGCTTAAACCGACTGTCGTATATTGAATAGACATTTCAGTGTCATGGGCAGAGAGTACGTGGACTTATTGAGGACAGAAAATTAATAGCGCATTCCTGAGCAACACTTCTATTCATATGTGATTAAACATTCATGTTGTTGTTTAACTTTGTTATAGTTTGATGTGAAGTTGAGTTACATTAAATATTTCGCGTGCGTTTGCGCAACTACGTATACAATGAGAATGCGGGGCAACGGTAGTTGGGCGGGGAGTGGGGCGGGGGCACTTTCTCGTCAAGTACACGTTTGCTTTCGTCGGTGGTGCGACAGCAACGGCCCGTTATCTCATTTGGCAGGTGCCGGTATGCCGGCTTCGTTTAGAGAAAGTGTTACAAAAATGAGCGTCTTTAATGTTATGCAAAGTTGCTGTAGTGAATTACGTCGCTATAATAAACTACAAGTATACGATGCATTCATTTTTATATAGAAATAATAAATTAGTTTTATATGGTTAGGTCATTAGCTAGTTATTACTCACCCGGATTTTCAGCGATGTTGACTTTCAATCGACCTACCGACAGGTTATTCCACCGATCTAAGGAACAAAAAATCGTCGGTTCAAATTGGCGAATTACGTTGTTATACTTCGGGTTAAGACAACCATTTATCAATTGTCGTTTTTTTCTTTACTTTAAAATTGAACATTATTTTCGTGTAAAATATTTTATTAAATGAAACCATTGTATTTTTAACATTTAGATTTATAATAGTTGTAGTCTATTATTTAGCATGCTACAACAAATGCATAAAAATGTAGGCCACAAAGTTGCCAATATAGACTGATTATAAGCCGCGTATAGACGCGGTGTCATTGAGCTGTGACAAGTACTAATTCTCTAGCACTGAAATGCCGCAGGAAGGTCACGTCGTTTTGTCCGGACGTCATTTATTTGTATCCTTCAATACAATGTCATTTTTCAACTGAATTCAACCTTGACTTTCCCACTTATATTTCAAACCTGGTCTATCTTTAGTTCGAATTGAAAATTCGCCTTTACCATTTAAAGATTGCCTTTATTTTCACTCGTTCTGTCTATTGGGAAAAATGTGTATAATGAACATATATACGCTATTGAATTGTCTTAAAATTGGAATTTGTATGCAAAACAGTGACACTGGTTCATTATAAAAAGATGACACATGTCGGTCATACGCATACGTCATTGCTTTAAATGAATCGTCGATTGTAAGTGGGCTTTACATCCACAGATTTTGCATTCTTCCTCAATTTAACTGTTTCCGTTAACACTACACTTTGCAATCTTCAGGTTCAAGGTTTAATATGTGTCCAACTTTGTCCTCAACTTTAATCCTGATAATACAATAATGTACTGATAAGTCAACAGTGTATTTTTCATAAAACCAAATAAAATCCACTGGCCACATATAAAAAAATCACCACTCAGCGTTTACAATATACATCTAATTAAAGAATTTAACATTTCACGTGTTAAAAATGTACTTTAAATGTCGTGTTTAAAATATTGTTTATTTTCGTTAACATGACTAATAACCTAAATATAAACAAAAAGTAATATGAAACTACATATTTAGTATTTACAACACATTTTCATGTTTTTTTTTTATTTTTTATAAGCTTGTTCATATAACTTTTCTAATAATTTCGCATTTATTAACATTTAAATGGCTAATTGATGTTAAAAAATCATAAGGTGATAAATTTAAAGTTATTGCATACTTCAATTTCAGTTGTAGCCATTAAAGTAAAACGTAATAAGCCCTTAAAAAACAAAGTCAGTAACCAAAAAGTTCATTCGAATTATAATTATAATAGGAAAAAAGAGAAAAAATGGCACAGTGTTTTTGACCACAAATTAACATTAAAAAGATGCTAATTAGTGTTAAAGACAGCACAATATTGTAGCGCACAAAATTATAATGGCAAATTGACGTGGCAACGGCGAGCGGTAAAAAGGCGCGAAGTCTCGATGACCTCAGCGCTGCGGTGCGGTGCGACGAAGTCGAGCGGCCGCTTTAGTCCAATCGCACCTTTTTGTACAGCGCCGTGTAAAAAATACATCCCGACCTACATCAACCGAAACTCAAATGTGTCTACGAATTGCTGAAACATTACATTGCATCACAATTAACTCATGCATGTTATTTATATTAAAAATATAACGGCAACTTTTTCAATGTAATCAGAATGATAATTACTTTGCTTATAGATTACTATCCCTATTTTCTTCATTGTTTATTTTTATATTTTATTGTTGTCTTTAATGTGGCTGTAAGCGATACATTTAGTGATTGATTTTTGTGACAGTTAATGTCACCTTGAAGCGAAGTTTGTGTATTCGGTTTGTTCCACCTTGACCTCCTGGACGACTTCCCAGTAAGATGTATAAAAACATGAATCGAATCGAAAAACATTCAAATATACGTAGCGCAACTAATTGAACAAAGAAATGTACGGATCATTCACTCGCAGATGAATGCGTCAACGGACGTAAAGGAAGAATATTTATTGCCGACAGCTCTAAACAATGTAGTCGTCGGTATTTGAACGGCAACTAGATGCAAGGTCGTTCTCAATGTTACGCTGTACTACGGACTTCGTGAGCGTGCGATGTTCGCCAGCTGAAATAATGTATCACGAATTTATTATTGATAGCGGACATTCTTTCCGACGCCCAGATCTGTTACGTAGCAATGAATCCGACCGACGACGAGGAGAAAATCGCCAAGAATGTACACATCCGAGAATATCCATCCACACTAATACGTAACGTAATTCTATATTACGTCAGCATATTAAAATAAAATAAACCTACTCAAACATTTTAAGGACATACTCGTCATTTGCAATTGATGATGTTGATAAACTAACTGTACTACCTATTAATATTTCGGAATTCTTGTTTGTAACGTTTATACACCGTAATATGTAAAACAATTCTACAAAAGACAATGCACTGTGCAGACGCAGATAATAAAATGTTTGTCAGTGGCACACGTCACACTGCACAAAAGGTAGATAAACTTCGATAGTTGATTAACCTTGTTCTACCTTTCTGTTGGAGTGAAGTTCGGCGCTATACTGTAGTGATGGTAATGACCTGCAATCATGTGTTCCAGGTCTAAGATCGAGCCCGCGTGCTCTAAGGTCGCCGCCGCTCGTACTGCGCGGGGTGAACACACCTTGTCTCTGGCCGCTGGGTTTCGTTCGACGATTGCTATAGGTCTCTTTTTTATCTACAACGACGCAATAATACTTGTTTACCTTTATAAAAACGTTCGTATTAAACACTTTTGTTTTTAAACTGGTTTGACTGCTTCGTCGGTAAAGGGAAATTCAACTGCCGATACAAAGTTCAGACAACTTTAATAAATAAAATCTCTACATATTAATATGTAAAAAGAACCTATCAACACAACAAGGCCTATAGAAAATGCATACCAATACCGAACCTACTCAAATTAACATTTTTAGTTATTTATAAATATTAATTGACGGCCAAGGTATCCACATTATGTTCGGTTTTTTTATTTTTTATATTAAACATTATTTTAATGACATTGATAATGGTAATGGTATTTAATAAATTGACGAAATAGATAAGTTTATATCGGATCGAAGGCAGTAGATCGCCCGCCCTAACCCGGAGCCCAGGTGAGTCAACGAACGAACGTTGACGCGGCGGCCTTTGCCACCGAGGACGTCTACGATTAACCTCTCGGTCCTTCACACAGCCTTACCAAATTTGTTCTCCTACTCATTTACATGTGCCAATAATATTTTTACTTTTAATATAAAAATTGATATAAAAGCCTACTTGAATATATGAATTAATGTTACATGCGTAATACAAGATTGTATTATACAGAGTTTTAAATTTAGAAAAACTTTTTGTTTTCGTCTGCGTGACAACTTGCCTTTTGGCTACGTTCTGTGAACTTCATCCTGTTACTGTCTAATGCTGTAATAAACGTTCTGATATGTTGTTAAATGTTGCCAATCAAATGAGATGTTTAATTTCTCAATGTCGCCTTCTCGTGTTACATAGAGCGTTTAGATGGATTCGTTTCTAAATATAGTCATCTCGTATTCAATTACAATGTGACACAGATTTCTATTTCTTACTCCCCTAATCATCATGTTGCCCCAAATAGAATCTTAGATGATACTGTTTCTATGTTCGGTAATCCTTAAATTAAAAGTAATCTTAAAAGTATGACTAATTTTGGAACATAATTGAAATGTGATCTTTATTTTGTTTAGAGTCCACGAAATATTAGCAGTAGCCAAGAGTAAAATATTCTTTCGAGTAGTGACCCAATTATCATATCTTATAATATCCATGAAAAAAAATCGAGGTGTTCCACGTTTGTGACAGTATTGCCCTCGTCACGAAATCTATTTGCATACTACACAAGAGTTCGCTGCTCGCTTTTCAATAGGCCTGCGTCACATTTGAATAACGTAATAAGTTTAAATATACGAAATAACGTATGTTGTATTTAAAATTACCTTTGTAATTTTGATACCGATATTTCTGCTAATGTTTATAATTTGGAAAAAAACATTTAAAAATGTTGGTCGTAAATGGTCATCGTATTACTTACGTACATGAATATATTAAATCAAATACATTAAAACATTGTGTGTGATTTAAAAAGCAGTGAAAATTAACATGAAATAACAGTCAAATTTAAAGTTACGACTTTCTTAGGGACGATCACGACCTGTGGGTTAAAACCACAAAGACTGAATTCATATGTTAGTTGTAAGCAAGAAAATGATAATACGAGTTAATTTATTTATCATAAAGTTTTAATAAAGGTGAAAAAGGCTCGGTTGTAAATCTTATTATCCGAAACTGAAGTCAGTTGAACGGCCTCAGGGTCGCAGGACGAGTCGACCGCCTCTCGGTCAGACGCCTGGGGATCACGAACCGATCTTACACAATTCATACCTGTTTCTACAGAGCTTCTGCATTTATCTCGCTGACGTAATGATTGTTCATTGTCCTTATTTATAGAAAATCAAATCGCATACAATTTCATAATTCTATAATACGCGATAAATAGCCAATATGTTAGTTTTTTCTGAATTAAAATGTATGTAACTGGATAATAACAAACTATGAATTTAATAATGACTAATAATTTGATAATGAAAGAGTACGGTGAGAACGTAGTAAATGATTGAGAGGTGTAACGTACTTTCACAGATAAGATTTTTACATCAATTAATTACTAACCGGAATAAATGTTAAATCACGAAAAACAAATGCAGTTTTATTAGCGTGAAATAAATTACATATGTGATGAAAATGTTTTTATTTTCTTTTGCCTAATTTATATCTTTCTTTGCGTACAGGTCTCGTAAACGCGGCCCGAGCAGTTCTTGTGACCAGGGCTACGGTGAGCGTGACGACCAGATGAACGAGTGCAACGCTGCGCTTGTCCTCATGTCACTCAGCTGCTCACCCAATTCACCACGACCTAGTAAGTTAGCAATATAACCTCTTAGTACAGATCATCAGACAATTATGGTATCGGTTTCTAGAAAGTAATCGAATAATATCGTGTTCATTATAAATTATCATATTCTGTAGTGTGTACATAGAAAAGTTTCGATTATTGAAAACCGTAAGTCATAAGTTTGTACACCTACTTTAAATTTACCCAATTCAAGGATGTCTTAAAAAACTCAAGCGTATTTAATGCTTTAAACGATATCATTATCTGTACTTAGCCACGCATCAGCACGCAATACGCAACGCGATATGAGATACGTATATAAAGTTGGTGTTACATAAATACGGACGGTCGCTGTCAGTCGTATGAGAGATGCTTCGCTGGGAACGGACACAGTTACACAATACACCTAGAATAACATTCAATTTTAAAGGTAATTGGCAAGATTTTACATTACACATTTATAGTAATTGTATTTAGAAAATTAGTGTACATGTTTTAATAGTACGATACTGTGGTAAATGGTTAGGTTTTTGTGTAGAATCTACGAAACGTTGATAACGTCTAGACAGCAGTCTAGACAGCGTCTAGACAGGTATTCGGTGTAACTTTGCTCTCTTATTATGAGCTCCGACCAAATGCGATCCAATTTGGGTACAGCAGCGCTGTCGAATCACGATGGAATGTAGCCTTCATTGTTATACAATTTACTTCAACAGTTGCACACGAAGACACTCTAACATTCTTTTTGTTACCATATGACCTTAACTACTAAGTCGGCCACAAGATTAACCATATTACGAAAAAAAACTATTTTTTTTATTTTTATAAGTATCTCTATTTTTAAATTGCGTTAACAAGTAAATTAAAAAAAAACTACGATTAAATATAATATAGATGAATAGATTTATAATTGTTTTATGGACATTATCTATAATAGAATATGCAGCTGTAAATCATTGCACAATAGCCACCACGCCTCTAACAACGTCACTAATCGTAAAACTTTATTATTCATCTTCGCCGGCAGAGCGTGCGCGGGCGCATGCTACATGTCGAGAAAATAGCTGTTCTTCGGAGTGAAAGTGGCCGGCCATAGATCCGTTTTACTATTTATTTGTGCATTCACATTGTATTAGGAACGCTTCAAATTTTGGGGAGTTAATTATAGATAACAATAGTTTATAACAATTTATAGACTACGAGAATAGTAGCTGTTCTATAGATAGCTTAAATCTAAATTCTATCAGATTAATTTTATTTAATCCAATACGGTACTGCTGTAATTATATAATTAAAAGCAATGAAATCTTTAAAAGGCACGTATTTCTACGAAAAAATAAATAAATCAGTGTCCTAGATATTATTTTAAGCGATAAATAATTAAAGCTCTAAATTTAGAGTTGTAAGGTATGAGAAAAGCTTAAAATAAAAGTTACGAAGACTACAATTAAATAAAAAGCTAAATAAAAGCAAGACAAGGATTTGTAATTAGAGGGGTTGAGACTTAAATTCGCGGTTCTTGAGTTTGGCTGCTACGAAAGTTTGATTTGTAGCATATTGGATTACAAGTCTTAATTATTTTTAATTCCCTGCAATTTATCCTTGCCTTGGTTTCTTTATAAAGATTTTCGGGACTGAAGACCCTTAGTAATTTTTGTGCCCCGTACAAGAGTCACTGCCCCTGACAAATCCGATTATTGGTTCAAGTGTTTCATACTAGAAGGTGACAAACGAGGAAATGGATATCTAATAATACTCTAATATAATATTAATTAAATACGCTAAAGCAGAGTGATCGCAGCCAATAAACATCTGCAATTCGTAAAATTGTTTATATTTTTGGTTTAGGTGCATGGGGCGGGCGATCTTCAGTGTCTCCAGGTGCCAGCAGCAGTTCAGGGTCATCGTGGCGCAGCGGAACCCCTTCCCCGCCGCCAGTCTCCTCCTCATTTAGCGATGAAGGAATCGCCATGGACTATGAGGAGCTGCATCCCCGCAAAAAAAGAGTAAGTCATTTATATCGTTAATTTTTGGATATACACTTTAGGCAGTGTCAAAAGTAGTTTGTTAAAATCGTCGCAAATTATTAACAAAAATATATAGAAAAAACGGACTAGGTGCAAACTACGTTTATGGATATTTTTGCACTCCTTAAATTAAATGTAAATAAAAACAAACTTAGGATACGACTCCTGTTCTTAAGGAAGAAGACAATAGTGTAGGTCGTGCACGTAAATTATATTAACCTTCAAAAGTATCGCTAAATGAAATATATATTTGGCCATGGTTTGCAAATTTAATAGGACGGTAGCTAAGTGTATAAATTGTTGATAATGTGTCTAACAAGATTGAAGAATCTTATGCATTTTAGGAAATCAAATATTCAGCGGTCATTTTAAAGACTTAAGTGAATAAAGAACAAAATTATGTGATACTTATCTTTTATTACACAACGAAAACTTAGGTCGTGAGTTCTTACTTACGATACCTAATCATTTGTTGAACGTCTGAACAACAAACACTTGGTACCGAAGGCCGTTCTTGTAATCTGCTTACTTTGCAGATTAAGCAACACTTCTCTACATTGCTTCAGCTACCAGGGCACAATAGAAACTTTTAAACAATTGTATTCTTTAATGATTTCGCGAACATTTTATAGTCTGTCTTCGCAAATATTACATAGGCGTGTCCATACACCGTGTACGTACCAGAAGCGGCTCCAATTAGACCGTAACATGATTCGTGCTCGCTTTCAGATTATAGAGTTTCTGTAAAATGAGCGTTAAAATGAATTATTTATAACCGGTGTAAGTAAACTATGTAGAGTACCGTCTTACGAAGCATCGTAAGTATAAGAATACTTATCATGTTATTAATATCGATTCGTTTTATTTTAATATCACTTTCAGTAGTTTTTATTATGCCCAGTACTCTGCAATATCATTTCTTTGTCCTCAATCTTTTCTTTGTCATTTGCATATATTGTAGTCAAACTACTTCTACTAACTGCTTTGTCGTGTGCATAACAAAGATTAAAAAGTTATTTTCGCTTGCATGTTCTATTTATTTGCTCTTTATTAAACTTTAAACGAAAGCAATGATAAGTATTGTTATTTGAACCACAACTCGTAAGTTGAAGGTTTGAATGATTAATGTAATTGTTTACTACACATGCATCAATCGTATCTTATTAGTCCAGCCGGCATACCTCTCGTGTACAATCAGAAATGCTTCACAATGATTAATAGATTGAGTCAGAGCCCGGCTGCACCATTGTGCACCATCTGACATTTTGCAAATCCTGTTGTGTCACGTCTCTAAGTGTCTCTATTCTATAGTTGTTGAGTTACGTTGCGGCGAGCTGGGCCGCCACTTTCACCACTAACCACCTGTTCTCGCTCGCTGAAGGCCATTATATCACTAGATACCAATGTATTGCAATTCCTGTTCCTTGTTTCGCAAACATAGCTAGATATTGATGCGATTTATGAATACGTTTATGTCGTTGCAATTTACATTTCGTATATTCAATTGAGATAACTTCGCGATATTTATCGTTTGCGAAATTCTTTTCTAAAAAATATTTTACAAAAAATCCCTTAGTGGAGCTTTAGTTGCAAACAATGAAACTTTTTCATCACAACCTAGCCAGACTTAGGGCTGCCGCAAACATTTTAACAAAAGTTTGTCACTCCTGTAAACAGAAGCAACCTTGAACAGATTGCCAGTCCACCTTCGCCTTGTGAGAACTCTACCTACGATTGTTAGAATGTTTATAAAACAATTGAATAGCAAATATCTACTTCTTTAATCAGAGAAATAACATCCCTAGCGAGTAGTGATTGCTTATAATTTCCTAGTGGAAAATGCATTATTGATTATTGCACTGATTTACTAACACGTGTACCAGTAGGCAGTAGCTCAGTGTGTCGCGCAATGTCAAGGCGCACTACGCACACCGCGTTCGCTCTTATGCAATTCTATTGTACAATTATTCTTATTAATTTTCTATATGAGTTCACGACCAGTTCATATTGCTCTATGTATGACAGATGCAATACACAATCCATAAACCGGTCTTATCATTGACATTAAACAAGAGTGACAACTGCTAACACGTTTTCCGTTAGAAATGATAAAGGTTTAAACAGAATCGTATTTCAGACTAATAAAAATTTTATCTAGATTTGCTGTTCATTTACCTTAAGTACAGTTATTGTTTCTTGGTATACTTTAAGTCTTTGTTTTTTATACAATAATAGCTGTTACTAAACCACTTTATGTTTTCATAAACGAAATAACTTTCCGTTGGCTAAACATAAACACCGAAGTTGTTTGAAATGTTCGCCATGACGATGACGTATGATAATTTTCTTGTGTTTGTGTTGTAGATAGGTACTTCTCGTATTGTGAACGTAACTGTGCGGTTTGAGCTCGACACGTGAAACAATAAAATCGTAATGTGTGTAACCTTGGCGGAGTGAAGTCACATCTCAAATAAGTTTTTGTTCAACAAGAACAAAAGATTAAAAAAATAATAAAAGCAAAATCTTTGTTAATAAATTCGATGTAATATTTTGAATCTAGGTCAAAAGGCTATATAGGCGGTTACAAATTGTTGTTTTTAACAGTGAACCTCTATGTTCATTTGTTACGTTGTAGTACATTTCACACTGTTTCTTTATGTAGGTTTGAACAAAACCGTGTGTAGATCGTGCCGCGTGTTGCTGTGGGTTGCAACACGGGGACGATTTGTATTCACGGTCAATAGAACAATAAATTATTATAGCCGCACTAACGTTGTTTGCGTACCATTGCGCGCTGTTTCTTGTTTCAACAAAGATTTTTCTATTTAATTTAACAATATACTTGTCTTTGATTAACTACTTCTTGTGTAGTAAGACTTGTATAAAACAAAAGCAATGAAAGAAAAAAGTTGAACATAATAGTTTTCTTCTTATAACAAACATTTTTGTAAATTAAAATTAGTAAGGAAATGTACTATGAAAGGTTAAATTGTTGAATTTAATGCTTAGTCGTTTGCATGTCATTTAAAAGTTTTATTGCAAAATCTTGTGTGAATTACAAAATGTTGAAGCATTTTTACATAATAGATGTTTATTTACAATTCTTAATTATTATAATGAAATAGGAAATCCGTATTTTCAAAACTAAACAAAAAATTTACTTGAAAACCTCCATAATTTTACTAATTACATTATTAACGTAGCATTTTGCATACTTGAATTGTTAATAAAACGTAGGAGTTAAAGCCTGTGCAAAGATATTTAGTAATTGCGCTGAAGCTATAAATAAATATATTTGTCACAGTCGAGCCCTATGTGGTGTGGTTACAGGCAACAGTAGCGTTTGAGATTTGCTGTAGGGTTGTCATGAACACCATTAAGAAACTAATGACAGGTTTCTCAGTTACATTGAACAATTCGTTAGTGTTTTTGATTTGATTGCATCATGAAATACGGTTCCGAACTTCGTATCTTGAAACAAATCATTTGTTTTTCTTTATCTGGAAATAATTTCACAAGATGGTTTTAAAAATGTAGAACGAAAACTGACTTCTTTATATAGAAAATAAGAAATCCGAACAAAATATGATTTGAAGGAACACTAAATATGTGTGGTAAGGAAGCAACGAATTTGAAACTCAATAACACGAAATGTTGATTAAAAATTTTATGACTTACTGTTTTCGAACTTTATTACTTTCACTTATTACGGAATTCTTTTGTCCACATTATTTGCTTATAGCATTACAGTGACAATCACTTAAAAGTATAAGCTATATAAAAAGTTAAACAAACTAATCTTTCTACTTCATATCCATGCAATATCAGGGTACATGCAGGTCTGAATTATTTCCTTTAATTGGTATTGTCGGACGTTACATATTACTAAGGGGTTCAACTTATGTAGATTTTCTATTAGACATTTGTCCTAAAGAGCAAAATAACCATTACGCAAACCAGTAAAAATCACTAATGGGTAGCCCTAGCCATGTATCGGGCGCAGTGGTAGCGAGCATTGGCGTAGTATTGGCACAGAAGACGTCCCGTGCCCACGCCGCACCGCGCTAACCTTGCGGCAGTTGGCGGCCGGTTCAGCATGGGCGTGGGCGGACCAGCCTCGTGTCACTCTTACCCACTGCGCTTACGTAATAATAAACAAACTGTACCACTTCACTGTCAGCAGCTACCGTTTGTTACATTATCGTAGTTATGCTACAACAATTTTGTTTAACTAGTTTGTAGACCGTTTTTACTTATGTTAGAATTGGAACGTACGATATAGACTGCAATAAGTTACATGAGAAAAGTAAATTGTGACCTCAATTAAGTATAATATTCTTGATGATACACACAGTTTTTTTTCAGTGATCGAATCTAATTAACTGGTTACTTTAACGTATAACGCTTAACTATAAACACAGCAGATGTTGGTTTGTCAACAATGATACTAAATATTTAACATAAACATATGTGATATAATTTCTCTTACCAAATTCGTGGCACACGCGGGCGACATATGCCCGTTCATTAATTTAAAAAGACTACAAATACGTTTGTTTACTACGCTACGGCCTCATTTCAAACTGTTTAAACACGACTATGACGCACGCACATTATTTGGTCTGAATTTCTATAGTGATCAACTTACAACTATGAATGATAATTTAAAACCGCATTTCATATAGTACAAGGAGATAATTGTAGATAGCAGTTTTCGTTGCAAAAATCCATTTATATCTAAGAGGAAGTAAAGATTGTGTGGATGTAAGATATTTATCGTTTATTGATTGATCGTACATTTCCTTTCCAGTTTGAAATATTGAAAAGGTTACTTTTTTTGTACAATATGGCATTTAGAATTCTGGCATTAGTGTGCATTTCAGTTCCCTCACAAAATAACAAACCTATAACGACTTCGTTCGAAAAATGGTTTATTCTGCAATGAATGCGATTGCCTCAACTGCAATCGGATTCATAAT